CTGCACATATGCACAGCGGGAAGCTGTAAGCAATGTTTATGCCACCACAGGTTGTCCAAAGCTGGTCTGTGTGAGTTTGAGATGAGAGGCAGTTGAGGACCTCACTGCAGATGAGGATGCCCCACATTAGCCCACCAAACTCATGCTGTAGCACCGGCAGGGAGCTTCCAAAATGGGCTTTGGGTTCATGCACTGAGGCAGCATCTGCAGTGCCCCTTCCTGAAACAACACCAGGATTCCACACTACACACAGCACTTCAACACCAACCTCCAGGACAGCATGCAAGTCAAGTTTTAACAAACTCAGCTTCAGAAGAGGTTTTGTACTGGCAGCTGCCAGTGCCTTTGCTCCAAAGAGGAGCTGCTCAAGCCTGTTTTCCTGGAGACCAATGTTTCTTACTGTTCCATTCCTCAGACCCAACTGGTCCTCGGCACATGGGAGGCAGTTGAAAGGGCAGGCCAAACAGCTTGCTTGTTAGGCAATCCAACAGCAAAAGCAGCATGAGATCTTACATCTTGGTACCTGCCCTGGAATCAGATAGGTACCTATGGCAGGACAGAAACACATCTCCAGATAACAAAGCACAGCACTGAGAACAGCTGGTGAAGAAAAACAAACTCAGCAGGGCGCATTTAAAACAGAGAAAAGTCTCTCATGCTAAAAATGTTACACCTCTTGATCATCATGTGTTACAAAGTCTCCAGCACAGCCCCACCTCCTGGTACCACTGAGCTTGACGTACATTAAACAGGATTTCTGTTTTTAACAGACCTCAGGCTGGCCGATGCTGTATCCAAATAGAGTGGACTCCAGAAAAGACCATCCAAAGTAGGGGTTGGATGGGATGGCAGCTACCTGGTATACAATATAGATGGGGTATTAATGTAACAGGTTAGATGACTTTCTAATACTGAGCAAAGTTCAGAAGGTACATATAGCCATGCTACTATCAACAGGGACTGCACACCCTATGGCTCATCAAGACCATTTATCACAGGCAACCACTTTTACAAGTTGTTCTGACAGGTACGGGCAAATCTGCCACCAGGTGATGAAATTGCTGTGCCAGTTTTATGTTCAGTGCTGAAACAAGTTGCCACCTGCACCCTCTTCCTGGGCATCACAGGCAGCCACCATAGAGCATGCACTACTTTGTTACCTTTACTGACCAAACATGATTGGTCTAGGCTCAGGTGAGGCTACGCAGACTTCCAAAAGAAAGAGGTACACACCTGGTAATACACGATATTTCCAGATCTGTGCTTACAGGAAAAAAAAAATTACTCTGAAACCTAAAGGAAGCACCTTTTCTCAGGAAAATGAGGTACAGTTCAGATACAAAACAAAAGCAATTTCTATAACCCTCAGAGAGTACCCATGCTCTCCATGGAAGAAAGAAGTGGAAAAAGATGGGTTGGCGAACCCAAAGGCAGGCCTAGGTAAAAGCAATTTTCAGAAGGTGGAGGTATGCATGGTTGTAACTCTTTGAAAGGGAAACAAGTACAATTTTAACCAAAGGGGTGAAGAGTAAAGTGAATCTCTGTGGAGGTCTGATAGTCAGGAAGACAGAGCACCACAGAGACAGAAAATACCATCACAGGCAGCACTGAGGAGTAGCTGGTCTGAAGAGCAACAGGGTGTCAGAGAGGGATTTACAGGATGAAGATCCCTGCATAGAGATTCATTTGAACTCCAGCAAGCATGGTCACAGGATCCATGAAGGGTGATGCAAAGCAGTCCTGTTGCTGCTGCCCGTCTGAATGCCTGATGGCCACACTAGTGTGGCCTGTGAGCACACAGCAGGATGCAACTGCCTGTGGTGTGAACACCACTCACAGTTACTCATTCGCAACTGCAGTTCTCCGAGCAGTCTCGTGCATGTGCCCTTTACCTCTCAGTCCTACGGCCAATCAGTTGCTGCAGCTTAGAGGAAGATAAGATGTGCCCTTCTCTCCCCACTTGTGCACAGGCCATGTGGGAACACCTATGGAAGCTGCAAAGAAAGCCCAGGCACTGGGGTCACAGGCCTAGAGTCTGTGTGCACCCACGGGGAGAACAGATGAAAAGACAAACATTCAAAGCATAAAGCAAACAAACTATCACTTGTCATGTCACTAAAAATCACTAGGGTCATGCATAACACTTAGAAATTCACTTCTTTCTCTTTTAAATATTTTCTGACTTTTTTAACTAATGAAGCCCCCCAACTTCTTCCTCACTCCCATGCCGCCATAAGAAATTTCAGAAAGTCCACAGACATGGAAAATACCCCCAACCACCTCAGACAACTTGGGGAGAGGGAAGGGTACCTAGCAGGATGCTTGTTGGCTTCCCCCATGCCCAGGTGCTGCTTGCCATATTTTTTGAGGCTGTAAGTTCTTTGCAGCAAGAGCAAAGCATATGCCCTGATCCCAAGCAGGTCCTGGGTGAGCCACAGAGGAGGGAACAAAAACGAGACCAGTGCTCCAAATGGAGAAGATGGCTGCTCAGATGCAGTACAGCAGGGCAAAGAGCTGTGGTGGCATCAGGATTTCATTTTGGAGAACTGGATCTCTCTAGTGAAGCACTTACTGAAGCCCCAGCACAAAAGGATGTGAGCTACTAGCAACTCTAGCCCTAGAGTTTGCACACAGTTCTTAAGAACAAATACAAAAGCTTTGCTTCCAGGCAGGAAATCCCTTTTACCACACCTTTCTGATTTACATCGATGCTTGATACACACCACATGTGTCCCCTCCTTCCTTCACCCACATGCACAATGGTCCTGTTCCATATTTAAGTGATGAAAAGTTAAGACCTGTGGTTACAACTTCTATGAAAAGTTTCATTTTGAAGGCTGCTACATTTCAATTTTATTGCCATGAGGAAAACTGAAAAAAGGCAAAATATTTCAGTTCTTCCTTAACATGAAAGCTGTTGTGAAGACATTTAATAAGTGTCAGTTCTCTCCTGCAAGTTGTTGAAATCTTGAAGGTGGGAAAATTTATTCTTACAAATGTTTTGTGTGAGTCCTATCCACAATTTTATTCATGACACTTAATTTCTTCTGTTCAAGGTGGCTGTGGCAGGCTCCTGAAGTGCACCTCAGCAGGCAGAGCTTACAACAAACCCTTCAACCAAAAGAAAAACAAGGAATAACATCGAGATTTCTTCAGCTAGGAGACCAAGTGAAAGATGGAGCACAAAAACTCACCCACCTGCCTGCGTGTGGGAATAGAGAGACATTCATCTCAGATGTTATGTGGGGAAACAGCAGGAGCAAGAGCCATCAGAAAACTGGCAAATGCATCTGTTTTTTCCATTCAGCACTAGATCTCTGCAAAATTTCCTCTATTCTACAGACCTACCCAGTGGGATCTGTCTGGCATTAATTGGCCTTCAAAATTACTTATGGAAATATCTTCAGCTAATTTTTGTAAGTCGTTGAGTAAGAAAAACGTTTGGTATTCTTCGGTTTTGGTTTGTTGCTTTTTGGTTTTTGGTTTGTTTTGGTTTT